CTAAGGGGAGCACTCATGACACGGACACAATGGACAAAGGAGTGATTCCTGTCCGGGCCGGGCGGGAGCAGGGCAGTGAGGATTTCATCACGCTCCTCAGAACGCTGTGCAATTTAAAGTTTATCAATTGTTCATTTCTGGAATTTTCCATTGAATGTTTTGGACCAAAGTGGAACGAAGGTAACTGAAATTGTAGAAAGCAAAACCGCAGATGAAAGGGGGAGGGGGGACTACTGTGTTTTTGTTTTGTTTTTGTTAATTCTCACCCAAGGATACTTCTCCATTGATTTTTAGAGAGAGTGGAAGAGAGAGGGAAAGGCAGAGAGAAACATCGACGTGAGAGAAACACATCGATTGGTTACCTCTTGCAGGAACCCCAACCAGGGCCTGGGCTGGGGAGGAGCCTGCAACCAAGACACATGCCCTTGGCTGGAATCGAACCTGGGACCAGACCGATGCTCTATCCACTGAGCCAAACCGGTGAGGGCGGGACTACTGTGTTTTGATGGCAATCTAGTTGGTGGCAACATTTATTCCTTATAGAGCCTTCCTTCCCGTGGCGGTGTGGCCCCTCCCTGGCCACTGCCTCACAGGGCTGTGTTGTATTTTCTCCAGGGCATGTATGGCTGCCCGAAACTTGTTTGTATGTTTCCTTCTTCTGGTTTATGACTCCGGCGCCACAGGGCAGGGACCTGGTCTGACTTGCTCACCAAGTGCCTGGCACATAGTAGGTGCCCGATCCATAATCATTCAAGGAATGAGTGAACTGTGAACCAGTCCATCTCAAGACAGGCTCCGTGGTCTTACTGAATCCTCACCACCTTAGCAATTACAGATACGGAAACTGAGGCTCCCAGCAGTGAAGTCACTTGTCTTAGGGCTTGCCTTCTATCTTTTTATTTTATTTTATTTTTTATTGATTTCAGGACTTGCCTTCTATCTTTTTAATTAATTTATTTTTTAAATTGATTTCAGAGAGGAAGGGAGAGGGAGAGATAGAAACATCAATGATGACAGAGGATCAGTGATCGGCTGCCTCCTGTATACTCCCTACTGGGAATCAAGCCCACAATTCGAGCAGGTGCCCTTGGCTGGAATCAAACCCAGGACCCTTCAGTCTGCAGGCCTACGCTCTAGCCACTGAGCCAAACCAGCTAGGGTTTGGCTTCTACCTTTTATTTCTTCACACAACATCCAGGTTGATAGCGTCTGGGTGCCAGGCCCTGTGCTACAGCAACAGCTAAAATAGCTCCTGCCTGCCCAGGGCCTCATCAAGGCTGTTTTATTTATATGACAAACCTGAATACAGCACGATGCCAACTACTATTTTAGCTGCTTTACATGTAACTCATTCTATCCTCCTAATAATTATACTATTATTATCCCCATTTAAAATATATTTTCATTCATTTCAGAGAGGAAGGGGGAGAGAGAGAGAGAGAGAAACATCGATGATGAGAGAGAATCATTGACTGGCTGCCTCCTGCACGCCCCCTACTGAGAATCAAGCCTGCAACCCCGGGCATGTGCCCTTGACCGGGATGGAACCTGGGACCCTTCAGTCCGCAGGCCGACACTCTATTCACTGAGCCAAACCGGGTAGAGCAATTATCCCCATTTTAGAGATGAGCAAACCGACACACGCACACAGGAGCTGAGTTGCTGGCGCAAGGTCACCCTGCTGGTAAGTGACCCTGCGGAAAATGACACCAGTGGTGCCACTGCTTACGAAGGAAGGAGGATCGGGGGATGGTAGGCTTCTCATCGGCAACCGAGAAGTCAGGGAGATGGAGGAACAGCACCTTCTAGTTTTGCAAGGAAAACGACCAGGAATCCAGAATTTGAGATTCCAATTGTGAGGGTGAAATAAAGATATTTTCAGAGGAGGTACGCTCCTAACGGTCTGTGAATGAATGGAAGAGCATGTGCTCCGGCATGAATAAAAAGTAACAGAATTGTTATGGGTTGAATCGTGTCCCCTCAGAAATATATATTGAAGCCCTCGCCTCACAATGTAACTGATAGATCCTCCCTTCCCCCAACTGGTGGGCGGGGTATGACGTAACCTGCAGCCCAGAAATACCTGAGTGACTAACCAGGTACCTTATATGGACTATACATTGGACCACCCATCCACACCTGCCAAATACCCTAAGCCCTTGTCCTATATGGACAATGCAGTAAGCCACCAATCAGCGTGCGCCCAGTACACTAAGCCCCCCACCCCTTTCCATTCCGCCCCTCAAAAGGCGTGCCCACCCTGCACGTGCGGCTGTCCTCCCCTCGCGAGGCGGCCCGGCAGGTGCTTCTCCTCTAATAAAGCCTGTAGTCCTGGTTTTTGGCCTCCGTCTGATCTTTCAGTAACCTTATTTGGAAATAAGGTCTTTACAGAGATAATGAAGTTAAATTGTGGTCACGAGGGTATCCCATATGACTGATACCCTTATAACACGGGAAATTGGACACAGACACACAGAGGGAAGACAAAGTGAAGAGACACAGGAAAGAGACTGCCATCTACAAGCCAAGAAACTCCGAAGGCTGCCGGAAGCTGGGAGAGAGGCGTGGTCCTGCCAAAACCTTGATTTTGGACTTCTAGCCTCCAGAGCTGGGAGACAATCCATTTCTGCTGTGTAAGCCCCATTGTTGGGTACTTGGCTACAGCAGCCCTGTCCTAGGAAACTAATACAAAAATGTATTCATGAATCAGTTGTATAAATAAAAATTAATGAGAAAAAACTTTTACAACAGGCTCCTAACAAAAGCTGGAATCCGTGGATAGAGACATGTCCATGGGTATGAAAAAGATGTCAATTGTCTTGTCATTAAGCCATCAATTCAATGCAATTCCAATCTCAATCCCGATAGGATTTTTCATGGAACTAGAAAAGCAACTGCTAAAATCCAGCCAGAAGAGAAAATGTACAAGAATGGTAAAGACAGCCCTAACCCGTTTGGCTCAGTGGATAGAGCGTCGGCCTGTGGACTGAAGAGTTCCGGGTTTGATTCCGGTCAGGGGCACATGCCCAGGTTGCAGGCTCAGTCCCCAGTGGGGGAGAGGGGGGGACAGAAGGCAGCCAATCAATGATTCTCTCTCATCATTGATGTTTCTATCTCTCCCTTCCTCTCTGAAATAAATTAAAGAAAATAAAAAAAGAATGGTAAAGACAAATTTGAAACTGAATAGAGGGGGAACTTGCCTTATAAAAATAGCAAGTCATATCAAACTATAATTATTAAACAGTATGGCATGGAGGCAAGAAACAGATATGGAGATCAATGAAACATAATAGAAATATATGTATATGTATATATATGGAAACTTGGTACATGATAAAGATGGAATATTAAAAGTGGGGCAAGGATTGACTTTTATACATATATTTTATTTCAGAGAGGAAGGGAGAAGGAGAGAAAGATAGAAACATTAATGATTATCATTGATTGGCTGCCTCCCACATGCCCCACATGTGGCCTGCAACCCGGGCATGTGCTCTTGACCAGAATCAAACCTGGGACCCTTCAGTCTGCAGGCCGACGCTCTATCCACTGAGCCAAACTGACTAGGGCAGGGCTGCCTTTTAAAATAAATGGTATTAGGACAATTGGTTACATCCATTATAAATTCTGCTTTAGCGCATTTTCTAATAAGTCTCTTGTAGGTTAAAAGACAAAAGCAAAACGAGGGAAAATCTTAAAAGAAATGATAGAATACATTCATGACCTTGGGGTATGGCAGGCCTCTTAAACAATACACCAAAAGCAACAGTCAGGATGGAATAGATTGGTAAACAGCCATGAATAAACACTAAGAACTTATGAGTGACAAAAATTAAAATACAAAGTACAAACTAGAAGGAACTATTTGGAAGCTATGTAACTGACTAAGAGAATCGGAAACCATAAAGTACTCCTACAAATTAATGGTAATAAAAAAGGCATAAAACCCCATTTAAAAAGTGGGCAAAGGATATGAGCAAGCCATTCACAACAGACAAAATACATAAAGCCAATAAACTCACGAAAACACGCTCTCTCTCCTTAGTAATCAGAGAGCTGCAAGTTAGAACAGCGTGGTACTATGCTTTCAGGAAATGACTAATCTGCAACTCATCAACCAGGTCTGCTCCATGTCCCTTCCTCCAGGAAGCCTTTTCTGACCCTCACGCGGGGTTAGGTTCCTCCGTCACACACCAGCCACGCACCCCCACGCACCCCCTGCCTCGGCCCGCTGGGGTCTCCTGCCCCAGCCCTGCCCTCTTCTGGGTCTCTCACGGTTTGGAAGCCCAGGTCTGTCTTTCCCGCTGCACTACGAGCTCCAGGCGCGGGGCTATCGTTAGTCACCGGTGTGTCACTAGCGCTGCCCGGCTCAGGGCTGGGAACCGAGGAGGCGCTTGGGGAATGTGTGTGGCATAAAAGAATGGATGGGGAAACTGAGGCCAGGTCCATGGCAGAGCTGGGGCTCAACCCCAAGGCTTCACATAGATAAAGGATCTAGCGTGATCTCCCACCACCTCCCGCTCAGGGAACCCTGTCCCGAGCCCCAGCACACAAGAGGCGCTCAATCAGGGCATTGACATTGAATTGCTTGGCAACCGGAGGCGCTCGGGCCCCGAGACCGCCTGCTCTCTCCAAGCCCTAACCTGCACAGTCCTCCACGACCATAGAGAGCTGAGCGGGACCGCGCTCTGGGCTCGAGGGCTAGAGAGGCCGGAAGTGCAGCGAGCCTGGGGACGCTCTGGCGGCGCCGCTCTTTTCCCAGCGGCTCGGGGACGAGGAGGTGAGTCCTCCCGGCACCGCGACCGGGGGGCTGGGGCGAGAAGGGCAGTGGGGAGACCGGTGGAGGGGGAGAGGGCTGGCGGCTAGAGTCCTCCCGGCACCGCGACCGCGGGGGCTGGGGCGAGAAGGGCAGTGGGGAGACAGGTGGAGGGGGAGAGGGCTGGAGGCTGCTGGCGGTGATTGGCAGCCGCTGAAGCCAATCAGCAGTTGCGGTGTCCGAGATGGACAAGAGGGAGGGAGGGGCGGGCATCCAGGTGCGATCCCTGGGGCGGGGCGGACGGAAGGTGGGGACCGCGGCGGAGCGGGCGCTGGAAAGGCGAGAATGCTGGAGCCTGGGTCACCTTGGGAAATCAGCCCTTTGCTTTCCATCTCAGTTTCTCTGTCTGTAAAACGTCCTGGTGGCTCTAAGAGAGGCGAAGGCAGAGGCTGCGAACTGGCAGCAAATGAGTGGCCCCAGGATGTGCTTTATGTGGCCAGCACCCTGCAAGGCCCGGATTTCTTGCTGACATTTAAGAATCAGAAGGTTTTGCATTTTTTTTTAAAAAGCTGGCACTTTTGACATCTCTTGGTAAACCGAAGGACTGGCACATGGAGATCTCCTCATAGGAAAGCAGTGGGCTGGAGCTGAGTACTGGCTGCTGCTAATGTGCTATGAAGAAAAGAAGGTGGCCTCAGCCAGTGTGGCCCAGTGGTTGAGCTTCGACCTATGAACCAGGAGATCACAGCTCAGTTTAGGTCAGGGCACATGCCCAGGTTGTGGGCTTGATCCCCAGTAAGAGGGATGGGGGGGCATGCAGGTGGTAGCCGATCAGTGATTCTCTATCATCATTGATGTTTCTATTCCCCCTTTTCCCTCTCCCTTCCTCTCTGAAATCAATAAAAACATATTTTTTAAAAAAGAAAGAGAAAGTAGGCTAAGGATATAGGGTGTGATGGAGGAGAGGTGCTGCCTTAGGTAGGACAGTCAAAGGACTGCCTTCCGGAGGAGGTGACATCTTGGCAGAGACGTGAATAAGTGATAGAGCGAGCTACGTGACATCTGGGGAGAGGGAACAGCCAGTGCAAAGGCTCTGAGGTCAGAGAGAGCCTGACAAGTTTGAGGGCAGCAAGAAGGCCAATGGGCTGAGTAAGGAAAGCAGGTACAGTGGGCTCTGGCGACAGCTTTGGCTTTTACTCTGAGGCAGGCTATGGGCGGAGGGCGGACATGATATGACAGTGTGTGGGGTGGTGAGGGTTAGGCAGGGAACTGGTGAGGAGGTGATGACAGTGGTCCCAGGGAGAGAAGATGGTGGCTGGGAGCCAGGTGGGGGCTG